TATATATATTGATCTATATAGATATATATAGATATAGAATGTAAATGGGTAAGCCGTATTAGTCCAGTAGACAAGATGTATAAAAAACAAAAATGGAGTATTGCAGTATGCAATGATACCTTTCTTATTGGACTAGCATAATATTTAAAAGACAAGCTTTCGAGACTTAACCTCTCTTCTTCAGGTCAGATGCAATACTAATCAACATGACAGAGTTTACCACTTAAAGAGTATGTTGTTGGGGGGGAGTAGGGTGTCATAAATGTTGGACCAGGGAGTAAAGAATGCATCCTGATAACCAAAAGACAGAAGAAATAAACATAGGATAGATAACCAATAAACCCTAAACAGATCAGAGATATATGACATATATGAATATTATGATGTTCTGTATATTCATAAAAAGTTCTGGTAGTGTGTCAGAGAACCAGAATCCACATTAAGTCCTTCCTTTATGGTGTTGAAATGTAAACTCATTTTCATCTCAAATGTTTACCTTTCATGAGAGTTTTTAAAATTCCCTTTCAGTAATTTTTTATTGAGGTTTTGGATGGAGTAATCCTTCTGGGAAAAGTGATGCCTTACTGGGGTGCAATATTTGTTTTCTTTGTGGTTCAAACTCCTGTGCAGGCAGTGGCACACCTAATAACCAAAGGGCCCTGGTGCAAGATTTTATCTTGGGCCCCCCTCCCGAGATGAAAAAGAACGGATCACACTGGCCCCCAACCACTCCCCCAGCGGTCTCTAATGTTGCAGTAGCGTGCTGGACTCTGGACTTACCTGAGACCCTGCAGAGCACACCATAGATCCTGCATAGCCCACCTGAGACTCTCTGTGGTGGGCTCTGCAGGGTCCCAGGTGGGCTGGTCGTCGGGTCCATTTCCCTGAACCTCCTCCCAACTCTTCTTGCCTGCTGCTGCTGGGGCCCGACCTCCTCCACCCCCTCCCCTATCACCTCTGCCATGCCGCCCCTGGTACAGCTGATACCCATGTAAGGGGCCCCCCAGGTTTCCCAGACCTCTCACATGGGTACCGGCCATACCCCCCTGATGGCGGTGTTCTATCAAAGTTTGTGACTATGTTAGAATGTGTGACCGGTCACGTGGTCACACGTTTTAAAGTAATCCCGCCAAGTTTTTTGGCGGTGGAATGTGTGACCGCCAATAGTTGAAGAATTCCAACACTTTGTCAGCTGTTCCAGGGCAGATCGGCATCGCAGATCGGATGTGCAGGAGAACCGATCTGCCCTGGAACAACTGATCGGTCCTGAAATGCCACTTCTATCCGACTGATTGCGATCTCACATTCCACCCCACTCACAAAGTTGGATAGAAGTGACATTTCAGGACCGATCAGCTGTTCCAAGGCAGATTGGTTCTCCTGCACATACCATCTGCAATGCCGATCTTCCCTGGAACAGTTGAGAAAGCGTTGGAATGCTTGACCTATTGGCGGTCACACATTCCACCACCAAAAAACTGGGCGGGATTACGGTAAAATTCTAAGGTAGTCACAAACTTTGATAGAACAGAAGCCTGTCTGTAAACATTTAATCTGAGAAATAGATTATAATAGGGAACATTACAGTGTAATGTTCCCCATTATAATCCACTTTTCTAATTAAATGAAATAACAGCACACAACCCTCGCCCCCTCCCTTATCCCCCTCCCCCCCGATTAGGACTCACCCAGCCAGTGCAGGATCAGAGCCAGACTGTGTGTGCACAGCAGGGGGCGGGGCGTATGACACACACACTTCTCCTCTCCTGCCGCCTGTTACAAGGGACACGGCCGGGAGAGGAGGACCCGTCCCCTTACTGAGACGCCAGTCGGCAGTGCGGGCCCTGGTGTTCTGACACCGGGACCCTGCACTGCCCCATATTCCATGGGGGGTGTCAGGACCGGACCTCATTGGGCCCCCCCCCCCCCACAGTCTCAGGCCCCAGTGCGGCCGCACCGGCGGTATTTGCCCCTGTGTGCAGGTTCATCCTGAGATGCAGCTTAAGGCCAGTTTCCCCAATGTAACAACCTTTGTCACATGCTAAACACTGTATCAGGTTATACTGAGGCTTGATAGAGAGGGCATACCTCGAAACGTGTAGCCGCCAATCTGGTGAGAGCTCTCACTTCCTCCAAAGCTCTCATCGGTCCCGCAGCACCTCGATCTCCCCCGGCATTCTGTCCCAACACACAGCGAGGCTATAGGACACAAATTAACCCCCAGCCATTTGCAGCTCTTCTCCCTCCTCCAACCGCCGCGTCTCAGCCTGGCCAGCTGAGTACGTGTGCATGTGGAATACCCGACTTGGGCTCGTGACCTGCAGCCCACCACCCCTCACACTGGGTCCTCCAGACCAGGATACAAGACATCAGATGCCACTGCACAAGTGACCTTTGGATATTGCCGCCGCTACCTTAATTGTGAGTCACCCCAATTTTCCTTACATAGAATATACCATTTGAAAGCAGTTTGCACCCCTATAAAAGGTAGTAGCGCTCCTTAGCCTTGTTTATTCACTGTATCATGTACATCACTTTAGCACAGTGGTTCTCAACCTTTCTAGGGCCGGGACCCCTTGGTAACATTTGCCAAGTTGTGGTGACCCCAACCGTAAAATGTAGGGATGCACCAATACTAGTATCTGTGTGGGCTCTCAGGTGGCTAGTGGGACACTCTGTTGGCATCCAGTGTGGGCTCTGTGGTGCCCAGTGCGGGCTCTGTGGTGATCAAGCACTCACCTCCCCTCACTCCTGCCTGCTCCCCTCTCTCTGATCCTCTCTGGGCACTGCTGCTGCAGCGCCATCTAGGAGAACTGACAAGGCTGCGCTAGGAGGCGGCTGAGGAGCCTCTTACCTAGAGCAACACAAGGCATGTGGGGACCCCCTCAACTGTGGGTTGCGACCCACTTTTGGGTCACGACCCACAAGTTGAAAACCACTGCTTTAGCAGATATGCACGAGTATGATCCCTGAATGGTGTAGGTTTTCTTATTGTGACTAGCTGTACTCTTGTCACATATATGCTGGCAAAGTTTGCAGCTGGGTTTATTGCATTGTACTGTGCCATTCTGTGTAAGTTACTGTTCTGGGGTCAGAACCTCATAATATTTATGTATGTCATATATCTCTGATCTGTTTAGGGTTTATTGGTTATCCTGTTTATTTGTTATGTTTTTTGGTTATCAGGATGCATTCTTTACTCCCAGGTCCAACATTTTTGACACCTTACTCACCTGAAGAAGAGAGGTTAACTCTTAAAAGCTTGTCTTTTAAATATTATGTTAGTCCAACAAGAAAGGTATCATTGCATACTGCAATACTCCGTTTTTGTTTTTTAGACATCTAATTACAATGTATTTAGTAATTGATTTTCTTATTGCGTGTTGTACTTCTCTATTCCTCAGGCAGTAAATTATTGGATTTATAAGTGGGGTCAAAATGGAATATAAAATGGTTACCAATTTATTCCTATTAAATGGATTCGCTTTTCTTGGTCTTGCATAAATAAATAACGTGGTTGTATAAAATATTATGACAATGGTAAGATGAGAAGCACAAGTTGAGAAAGCCTTCTGGCGTCCCACGTTGTTTGGTATTATTAGCACTGTCCAAAGAATACAAATATATATGATGATGATCACTACTAGAGGAATCATGATGATCACCATAGCAAGTATGAAATCCATCAGCTCAGTAAAAGACATGTCTGTGCAAGCTAAATTCAGGACTGGAGAAATGTCACAAAAGAAATGGTTGATCACATTCGGGCCACAGAAGTGAAGCCTAAAAATAAGAAATGCTTTGACCATTGCAATAGAAAAACCCAGCACCCAAGACCCAATAGCTAGTTGAATACAAAATGTGTGGTTCATAATGACTGTATAACGTAAGGGGAAACAAATAGCAATACATCTGTCAATGGCCATAACTGCTAACAAAACACATTCAGTGCAGGCCAAGGATATAAAGATATACAACTGTACCATGCAAGCTATGAAAGAGATTTTATTATTTTGTGTAAGAAAGTTGTTCAGTAGATTTGGAACGGTGACTGTGACATACCATATTTCCAAGAAAGATAAACTACACATAAGATAGTACATTGGCTTATGGAGGTTTACATTAGCCTTGACTGTTAGAATGATGATCACATGTTCTGCTACAGTTAAAATGTAAGTTATAAGAAATATGGTAAACAGTACAGGCTGAAGCTCTGGACGAGTTGGAAAGCCAACGAGAATGAAAACTGAGATATTATTACCTTGAAATGTTTTCATTTTAGATCATGTGTGCAATATTGACAACCTGAGATAAAGAAAAGAAAACAAAACACAACTCATTAGGCGTAATTCTAAATGGTCTGCTTTTATAGACTGAGTGATGTCCCAGGCAGATAAACAACATCCATTCCATAGATCATAGCAATATCTGAATGCTTGAAGTGTATGCCAGGGCATAATAATAATGAAAAAAAATAGTGCATCTCTGCAGCACATGCACACGTCTCATGTTTTATTCCTGTGAACACACTGCAAGTACAGAAAATTAAAGTGTAACTAAAACCAACACCTTTTTTTTAGTTTTGAATAGAGTGGATAGCGATTAGAACACCTGTCAGGTTTTGATTGTTCTTAGTGTCTCCCTTACAGAGATTCACCCTTGCTTTTTGTCCTTTGTGACTGTTATCACTGAAAGTAAAATAAAATTAAAAATTTTTGGTTGTCGTCAGAACCGGAATAGATGGGAAATCGTCCAGTGGGAACACTAGTTCTGTTGACCAGGGATTTCCATCTCTTTGGAGGGATTTTCTCTTACTTCTGGTTGTGGCTATCGGAAAGAAAGTGAAGGAAAATCTCCCCAATGGGATGCAGATGGCAAAAACAAAGCTGATAGGAGTTATAACCCTCCTTTTCTCTAATCAAAACCAAGAAAATTGTTTTGGCTTCACTTCAACTTTAAGTGTTTGATGTACCAAAAGCTTATTGTGCACCCTTTCTTTGACATTACATTTTGAGCTCTGAATTTTACATTTGAAAGTCAAACTACAGCCAAAACTGTTTTTTTCATTTTGGATAGTTTTTACCATCTGTGTCCCATTGGGGAGATTTCCATTCACCTTTTGTCCCATAGCCACAACAGGAAGTGAGAGGAAATCCCTTGTTCTCACCAAAGTCACCAGAATGTCCCCATTGCTATTCATGTTTTGGTGACAACTCAACATTTGGTATTTTCTTTCACTTCTACTCTTGTTAATAACAAAGACACAGACAGCAATACAACCTTGACATGTGTCCTAATCCCTCTCTACTCCACTCAAGAGACAAGGTTTTGGCTTTAGTTCTACTTACAATTCTTATGGATTGTCTCCAGAGCAATCTTATTCCACAAGACAATAAGGGCAGTAGCTTTAAAGCCTCTAGGTGGCCTGCACAAGATACACATCCTGCATTGGCAGTAAAATAGGGAATCGATTTCCTAGTCACTTTTTCAAATCCCCCCCCCCAAGTCTTTACTGTAAAATATTTCTTCCCACTACACTAATGAATAAGTGATGTAGGAAAGTTTACTCTCTTGTCCTCTATGGACCAATGCTGTACATTCTTTCTAATGCCAGGATATTAATTTACACCACTTTCTATCTGGTTGAATCTGCCTTTCAAAACCTGACCGTGTCATTCAGTACATTTTTAGGTACAATAGAAAATGTTCTGTTCTGTGGTCTAGAGGAAAAGGGAGGTTGGATATTGTAAAAAATCACCAACCCAACTACTACCATCTACTTTAGTTTTAATGTATGGTGCATAGAACTTGGCATTCAGAGGTTAAAGGGCTGCAGAAGAGTAAAAATAGCTGCAGAACTGTAGAGAGGTTCAAAGAAGTTCAAAGAGGCACAGAGAGTTGGTTAGGTTTGAGTGCAGGAGAAGAGAGAAAATGTGGAAAAAGTGTAAAATGATGATGAGAGTGTCAAAGAAGAGAGAATGCATATTATAAGAGTAGTGAAGAGGAGGAAAGGGGATTCAGAGAGGTGGAAAGAGAGGAGTGTAAAAGGGAAGTAGATCCACTTAATCGCTTTCATTAACCATAAACACCAAAGCGCAGATTCTCTGAATATTTTGTATATAGAGAATGTAAGATGTCAGTCTTACTCAGTAGTCTCTTCTATCAAACAGGCAGTACTTAACAGTCTATTCCAGCATGGCAGTTTGCCCTCAACAGCAGCCCTCAGTAGTCACTTGTAATGCACATATACAGTAGTTGTTAGGATATGTTAGCATATGTTTGTGTTCTTCTGCCTTTCTGAGTACCTGCCCCGTACCTGGACCGAGAATCAGCGACACACCCGTGACAGTGGAAAGGACTTTATTAAAGCAAGAATAAGCTCTATAATGGAAGAACTGGTTAAACAGTTTACAATAACAATGCAAATCCAGTAGCACACATAACATATATAAATTCACTTTATCTTTTTCAGCATCAACAGAAAAGACAAATGGAGCCATTGGATTACGTTGGAGCACTCACTTTCAGGGGAAGAGTATTTGTAATCCACAAAGAAGCTCACCAAAGCATTCATGCTGAATTCTCCTCAGGCAGCAAAGTCTCAAGGCAGCAAGCAAGCATAATTTAAACAAATACAGGTGGCCAAAGGTCTCTCATCACTGATGCTGCATAAGCATCATCGGTTCAGCAGTCAATTTCCTGGGAGGCCAGGCAAGAGGTCACTCCAGACTCTAGGTTCCCCCCTCAAGCCTGCTCTTTCTCCCTCAATGGAGTTCACAGGCCAAAAAAACTAGCAGCTCCCTCTGAAGTTCTCTCCACTGCTTGCATCACAACACAGAACATTCTAGGTCCTCCTCTTCTTCTGCTGGGTCCCTGCTTTTGTCCAGTCTTGGTGAGGTAGAGCAGCAAGCTGCTGGGAGGCCACAGGAATAACCCCTGGAAGGCCTTCCAGCCAACGCTACAGTTGATTTTTGCATTATGTTGACAGGCCTTAGCAGTCTCCTGTAGCACATATTTGCTCCCCCGCATTCATCTGTACCATGCCAGTAGTCTCTCTTGCAACATGGCAGCTCTCTTGCTGTGTTATGGCAATGGTGAACGTGAGTTTTCCATAGGTTTGCAGACTTTGTGGGTTATGTCAGTATGCCGGTATAAGCAAATTAAGACTAAGGTTGTGGGTACATAATTGGTTCTAAGCTAAATAAAACAAACTGGTGCAGGCCTCTAATAAAAAATGTCAAACCACCTGCACCCACTCTGATCCATTAGCACAGTTTATAAGCAAATAGTAAAATGTCCCTCTCATGTTCCGCTTGGAGTCTCTTCCCAAAGTTCCATTCAGCCAGTCCCCTGAAAACTGTGAACAAATGTTGCAGTCCACTTCTTAACCTCTTAAGCTTAGTGGAACTCAACTCCCTCCCACAAATGGTACTTACACCTAAGTAATATAAATGTGTAGTGAGAAAGCATGAGACCTAAGCTGGCCATACACTAATCTAACAGATGTATTTATGCTTGCAACACAGCCTGGATGGAAAAAAAATCCCACTGCAACTGTTGTATGCTGACAGTGTTGGGTATGCCACCATATCAATACCTGAACTGTTCATTTTGAGAATCTTCAGCCTGGCTCCTTCGATTTTTCAGATTTTAAGTAATTATCAAGAGAGGTTGTAAGTTTTTTTTTTTGTCAGTTTCCAGGAGGAGTCATTTACACATGATAAAGGGTTATATCCTCTGTCAGGCTTTCAAAATCACCTGCCAAAATCATCATGTAGAGATTTTAAATCATGTACCCTCCCAGTAAAATCTAGGCTTGCTTTACTAAAGAAAAATAGGCTGTTTATCTAGTAGAGTGAATACTTTTTCCATATTATAAGTGTATAATATGGAAAAAAGTGAAGATGTGTTCACTTTCAATGTTCAAACGTGCAAAAATCGTTTTTTTTTAACCTTTGCACATAAAGGGGTCTTTATTGTTAACACCAGCTTCACCTTATTTGCTAACATACACTTTGCTAGGTAAACAGCTTTTTACGTTTTGTAAATTTAAATCAGGACAAGAAAATGTGTCTTTGCTGGAGAAATAAAGAAAAACATTCAGCCTTACTCATAATAACATAATTATGATTAAAAATGTTGACGCTCCCAGATGCTGATCCTACACTAAAAATAAGGTTTGGTATTTTCCTTAGCTTATGACATAGTGCTCTCATAAGGTAAAAAATGAAATCTAGAAAATAAGACATTTAATTATATGGGTTGCCTGTACACTACTGAATTACAAAATCAATGTTCACAAACAATACTCAGTCATTTTCACAGGGGTTTCATGAGAAACAGGTCATCTTTTCAAATATTTCAGTCTGTTAGCTTAGAAACCAAAAAGCCTTAAATATGTCATGAGTAAACAGTAATGAATAATTGGCTCCTGTCTAAATTGGTCCTCGTAGATATGAATGTGACAAAGGGACTTTACATTCTAAGCAAGGACTGAGAATGTGCAACTATGTAAAGCGCTGCGTAAATGGTCAGCTCTATATAAATACTTGTAATATATAAATAAATAAACAGAAAGTATTTTCATAAATACAGTATATTGCACATATAAAAAGCTGCAAACTTACTTTGCTTTAAAACCAGTCAGTCTACAGTAACTACAAAAATGAGAAAAAAATATATCAGTAGTAGAATGATGAAAGACATTGTTGCTATGTGCAATGCTGCCATGTGAACTCTTCAGCATTCCAGGTCTCCTTCAAGATACGTAACTCGTACATTAGGTACAAGAGATCTTTGCTGGTGATTCTTTTTATAAACGTAACATTTTATCTAGAGAGAACCAATTTTAATGAGGTTCCCATCAGACACATGGGATATCACTGTCGATTAATGTTCAAGTTGTCACAGTTTGATATTTTTCTTTTTGTATCTAATGTATATACTTGGGGAAAACAATTATGCAGTACATCTTTGCAATACTTGCATATTTTCCCATGAATTGGCTCTTTAACAAAAGTATCAAAAAGCCTCTTGATCCTGCCAGAAAATGTGTATGTGTCTAATATCCTAATCCTAATTTTCTATTTTGTGCTTAGAAATCTGACTTTGCTGCATTACATTTCCAAATAGTAGTCAGCCTTGCCCGAGGTCTCCCCTATGAACTAGAAAACACCTCCCCCTTATGTTACGGTAATGAGAAGAGGATAGGTGTTCTGTAGTCCAGTACTGGACAGAGCTGAGGTACTGTTTTGTCAGCTAAAACAAGAAGTAAAAA